TGTGTGTCTGTTGGTGTGTGTGTGTGTGTGTGTGTGAATGTTTGTCTGTATGTGTGTTTGACCGGAAATTCATAACTTCCTTCAAAAGAGCGATGGAGCGCTCAAACTGATAAGTGATGTAGGGGGCAGGATGGGAACATTATTGGTGGGTGACAGGCCGTGATAACAGTTGATAAGATACCACAAGGGGCCTTAGAAGGAAAAGGTCACCAACTCCATAGCGCGGGCCATAGCAACGATGGGACGTTGGTTCCAAGAGGTAAGATAGGGTGAAGGATGGGAACATTGTTGGTGGGTGACAGGCCGTGATAACAGCTGATAAGATATCAAGGGGCCTCAGAAAGGGAGTGTCGCCAATTTTGTAGCGCGGGCCACAGCAGCGATGGGACGTTGGTTCTACGAAGTTAGATAGGGGTCAGGATGGGACCATTATTGGTGGGTGGTAGGACGTGATAACAGTTGATAAGATACCACAAGGGGCTCAGAAGGAAAAGGTTACCAACTTCATAGCGCGGGCCACAGCAACGATGGGACGTTGGTTCTAAGAAGTTAGATAGGGGTCAGGATGGGACCATCATTGGTGGGTGGCAGGACGGTAGAGGATGCCCCCGAAGTTCATGGCACGAGTTGTAGCAACACTGGGGAACTGCGTTCCAAGCAAGTCATTCAGAAGAGGTGGATATAAGCTGTATATAGTGTGAGAAGGGAGCTTATAAGCATCAGTACCTGTTCGCATCCTTACTGTTCAGCCTGAACTTGAGCCGCGGTGCCCAAGAAACAATGGGCAGGGGTGTTGTGAGTCAAGTTATTTCATCTCTTAGCGATATGGTTGGGACTGATTCGACCGCTGAACTCTCGAGTTTCGACAAAAATCAAAAGCCCTGGAAGCTGCTTAACGAAAGTACTGCGATGTGAGGGATATTTCACTATGATGTCCATGTTATTACCATCGAAACTCTTTCAACCGCTAAGCTGTCCTATTTCCAACGAATGGTGAATGTTTTTTTAGAAATGTGATAAGCACCAGACATTAGAAAATGTTCATTAACAGGAGAAATATAATGAAATGGGTCGTATCTCAAAAAATGACAATTGGGCCAAGTGTTTGGGGTCAGTACAGAAATTAGTAGATTCAACCATGCGCGCAGTAGTGCGCGTCAGCCGAACTGGTAATGAAATAGGCCGTATTCTAAAAATTGTAATCGGGCGAAGTGTTCGGGGTCAATACAGGAATCCTGTCAGCGCAGTACCATTACCATAGGTTCAACCATACGCGCAGTAGTGCGCGTCAGCCAAGCTTGTGATAATAGAAATTGCTTCCTGGTAAGAGAAAGTGGCATGGAGATGTTGCCAGATGAGTACGTATTTGTCAGAATTGAAGTTGATGTGCACGAGCTACATATATCGGTCATTTACATTTTTCAGATGAAAATCATTGATCCTGATGGACGCGAAGTTCATTACACAGTTGTTGAGGAAAATCCACACAAATTTCTTGTAATCTACACTCCTCTTCGTGATGGAGTTCATCACGTGGGTTTTTTTTCCTGTTTGGTTCGTGTTGCTAGATAGGGTTTTACGTTTCGATATTTGTGTTCTGGGACAACCCTATTACACCATGCACGGATATTCAAATATGCATAATATCGAGCGTTCAAATGAATTGAGAATGACTGGAAGGGGAAATGTCGAGTACCAGCCGGGAAATCGGAGTTGCGGCGGGAGCCTCTCAGCGTTTCTTAGCTAGTTGACTTGGTTTAGTGTAGCATTTTCGTGTTAAATCAGTCAGAGCAGCAACGCTTTTGCAGCGCCAGGGCACCTTGTTGGATCTCCTGGCCGGCACCCTGGGAGGTGGTGTGTGCCCTCATTTGATATTGTTTAGTGGTCCTAGCTTTCTACCGTTTTGAAGCTAATTTGGAGTGTCTTCCGAGAGTCTTTGATGAAGCTACTTCAGATATCGCTTTCTCTACGTGATATAGCGCTCGGCACGACTACTGCTGTGGAAGATGCCTCATGTACTGTGGAGGTGAGCACAAGCTTTGTTCAATCGTTTTTTACTACAGTCTGATGCTGACGAGTCCTGTTAGCTTTTTTGTGTGCTAAATGTTGATCGTCACAGGCTCTTCCTATTGCTCGGTTGTGCCCCTACACTGATCGAGTACGCGTAGGCGATGTTGTCCCGTTACGTGTGGAAGGAGCAGTTCGGGGGCCTGTGGAAGTTGTCATAGTGGATGCAAAAGGAAATGAGAATATTCTCGCCGTTATAGGTATGTCTTACTACATTTATTTGTTAATTTACATTTTTGTAGTACTGCATGATCCATATAAACACATTCACGACCACGTACACGTTTCTGAAGACCGCATGATTCAGAAACATCTTTCGCACACTCATTAAAGTCTGTATCCAGCACCGTAACTAACCTTTGCACTTCTTTTTACAGTTTCCCTTCGAAATGTCCAAAACACAACCCGAGAGGTCGAGAACAGTTTCGGTCTTTGAACTGTTCGCTTTGAGCCACTAATCGTGACCGAAAAGCTTTCACCTCTAGAGTCGAAGTGGCCATGGAACGCCACGCAGACGAAAGGCTGCAAAAAAAAACAGAAATTGATGCGCCCAGAGGGATTGAGTTCAACCTATCTGTAGACCCGGAAGGATGGCGAGCGGGGCGATGTCGCTCCAGGACTCAATGTACCGCGGCGCGTTGACTCTTTCGTCTCCCACTGCGTCTACGTCTCGTGAAGGCGAAGCCTGCGACCACAGATGGTAGGTCGTAGAGCTCAGGTACGAACAACAAGGTACTTAGGAAATGTGTAGTGAAGAAAAAAAGCAGAAAATATGTACGTCCGGCATGTTCTAGATAGGATGCCGATGGCAGCTTCTATGTGCACACGATGAAAGAGGACGCGTCTGTACGAATTCCCACTTGTTGTTATCATAACGATATCAGCTGTTTCCCTTATCACTTCACTCTCACCATTCGAACAATGAGAGTTGATAGAGGGGCTACTAGCTAGTAGTGAACTTTACTTATGGGACTTAATGCTCAGCATTCGCCGAAATCCTTGCAAATTTTCACGGATTAGATGTAGCGCAGCTTCCACACTCGCCTATCGGATCGTCTGAGGCATTGAGATGTTATAGCCTCAGTTTATCGCGCAAGATGCCTTTAAATAGACATGTCCTGGGGCTGGGAAAAATTTTATTGTATACGAAACGCCCCCCTCCCCTCAATTTTCTTTCGCGGTACTCCTCTCCTTCGGAACCGATCGACCATCTTCCCAAAGTTTCGCCGTCGTGCATATGGGCGGAGAGGTATAGTGCGAGTGATAAGGGAAAAGTCAGCAACCAGAAAAAATCCTGATGTCAAATGCGTCCCTCCTCCTTCCCTACAACAGAAAAATAAATACTTGGAAATTCCGAGCAGCTAAGTGGAGTTTGCTCGAACATCTAACGTTTTCTCTTCGCCGTATCGAGTTTTGTTAGTACTCACGTCTACCCTTCAAACACAGCTTACCATTAGAGCTCGTACTCATTCAAACTTGAAAATAAAAGAAAAAAAACTTGTGAAAAGCTAAAAATCCTCTTTATACTTGATCTTCTGTCAAATAAATTAGCTAGTTATCAGCACTATTTCTTGGAATATTTCATGTGTCAAAACACTCACAAGTGACGTAGTGAAGGGGATGTAGTAAAACGGAAATTCTTGGTCCCTTACGTTTTTTCCTCACTATGTCTTATTCTTTCATACCATTTACAAAATCAGGCAGCAATAAACATCGTACTGTCTGTTAGTTCCCTGGTTTTTTGCTCTCATCTGAGGAGTTTCTCGCTCATAATCTTGAGGAATCTCAAGCTTCTGTGGCACTGACTTCGAACGCTAACTCGGCACGTTCTTTTTCCAAACGTTATATGTGAATACACAATACCGCTATGTAATTTCCAATTGCGGTTGAATGGGGAACTAACTAAATATTACTGCTGGATTGTTGATGAGTTCAGTAGTGTTTTGAAAATATCTTAACACGTTGGCGACATTGCGTCCCACTGCTGGGATGCGGCATGGGTAAAAAACCAATTTGAAGACGTTTCGAATTTTCAACAGCTGCATATTGTCCATGAAGGCATTGTAGAATATACAGTAGCTGTAAACCGTGCAGTTGTGTCATTGAGAGTATTTTACCGAGGAGACAAACGAAAGTGATTTCCTAGGAAAAAAAGATAATTCTTGGATATATAGAACTGAAGCTCCACATGCAGATAGCTAATGTGATAAGGTAACTTTCAACAATAGCAGATCTGAATCGAATCCAATTTACCACCTCTGGCGCGAAAATATTCCTTTTTTGCGACCTTGTTCCCACGCTCCACGTGAATGAGGCGGGAGTATTCCATGAAATTTCAGGGTTTATCTTGAAAGTAAACAAGAATAGCGAAGCCTTACTAGCTTCTGCAATGAATTCTGACCATTCTTCAATTTTTTTGGCGTATAAACCCTAGCATTTATGCGCATTCTTCGAAAATAGGGAAAAACTGCTTTGTCCCACGCGGCAGACACGCGAAAAGGCGCCTTGTCGCCAATGTGTTAAACGGATACTTTTTGCTACTGTAGACCAAAAGTCTTCGTCGAGTGACAATATTAAAAAAGTGCGGAACTGTAGGTGATGGTTAACAAAATGTGTCTGGTCTTGAATGTGTTTATATGAATGGCTCCTTGGTTTCCGCGCAAGCGAACTGTTCAATTTTTGTGCGTGCGGGGAGGCCGTCTAAACCTTAAACTCCTGAAAATATATATGATATCGATGGTTATCAGCACAAAAATTTGACATCTATTTCTGGGATTTACATGCAGTCCATAAGCTTTTTCGGGAAGGGTTACCAGACCTAGGCTATTTAGGGCCTCCTACATTTCGGATGTCTTCGTACCAAACTGTTGATGTAAAAACCCTTCAAATGCTTCAGTTACCATTCTACTTTCTTTTGATCATCTTATTAATAACCTGACTGATGTATTTGTTTCCACTCCAAGTTCAGCTTTAGGTCGGACCTTGATTCCTGCGGAATCTATGTTGCGCTCCTCCCTTGTTTCAATTTTTTGTTTCGTACTGCAACAATTATAGTCTTGTTTACAGAAGGTCCAGGCAGAGGTGTGCACACCTGTGAATATGTTCCAAAGGGCAGTGGTCTGCATACTATTAATGTGTTCCATAATCGGAATCCTATTCAAGGCAGTCCGTTCCCGCTCAGAGCGGTAGAGAGGCGTTAGTTGTAATTCCTGTTCTTCACATTTTTTTTCACAAATATACAAACAGACATCTGTACCCAGAAAACTATCCTAAGAGTAGTTCAAAATTTTCAAAGAATATCGCTGCGAAGATGATTATAGAACCACCATTACATTGGCTTCAATAGTTTCATAGGCAGAGCTGGTTGTGGTCTGAGAAACTTATCAAAACTGAGAAAATCCTTATACTTGGCATTTATGCAGTAAGTTTCCGAAATTGCTAGGAATGAATTGCCTTAACTGGCCCGCTAAGGAAAGTGAAATTCACTTCCACACAGTCGGAGAGCGCAGTGTACTACATAGTGTAGTTGAGGGCGGTTGGGCATGTCAGGCGGGATGAGTTTAGCACGGTGCCAAACCGTTCTCAACCAGTTATCGTTCGTATTACTCCTTTCCTAGCGCTTTTTGTCACATGCGCGCTTCAACAAGACGGCAGAGAACGGCTTTGACGGCGTGACACACTCATATGTACTGCCTGACACGACCAACCGTTCGTAGCGAACTAGGGTTCATTTACGATGGAAAATGAGCCTCATGTTGCAACACGCGTGATTCTCGAAAATTATATTGGAATACATGAGCAGTACAGTGTGCAGTATTAACAGTACATTATTTGGATACGGTACATAATGTGCAGTATTCAACTAATTGCAGACAAGACGATTCACATAGAACGAATGTTAGAAAATGTCATAGAAATACGTTTGAATTAATTAGACGTGGAGTGTTTTACAACTGACATGCTTACACGACATAGGCAGGCTTTCTGTAATGGGGCGGGCTGAATTTACGTCGTTAAATTTGTAAACGATTGACTGGCCTACCGTCTGATTCGTCGCTCTACGAGCGCCGGTCAAAATATTCTCGGTATCGGGGTATTTTGGCAGTGACAAAGGAATTCATATCAATAGGTAACGACACTTCTTGAAGATGTAAAAAACTTTATTCAGTTTTCATCAGTGGTATACTACTTCACCTGTATCACTGTGCTCACTGTGATCATCGAGTTAATCGAGCGGGCGCCAGTATGTCTACATTTGTCCCTGCAACGTGCAAGAGTTGTTCGTTTGACATCCCGTGGAATACCAGTCGGTGATCGCTCTGGTCCAGCGGTCGTCCTCGAAACGCATGACGTGCCCGGCCCACCTGATCTTCGAAACCTTGGCAAATGCGGCGGCGTCTCTGATCTTCGATCGTCGGCGGAGTGCGGAGCTCCGGATTCCCTCTCTCACTTGCGTGTAGCGGGAAACTCCGAGCATCGCCCTTTCGATGGCGCGTTGAATAACGCCGACCGCATGCTCATCCTGCTTTCGTAGAGTCCAAGTCTCTGAGGCGTACGTCAAGGCAGGAAGGACCGCGGAATCGAAGAGGTGGGCACGGAGCTTGGTGTTCTTCGTCTTCTTCGCTACTCCCTCGATGTTCTTGAAGGCTCCCCAAGCCGCTCGCTTCCTCCTGCTCAGCTCTGGAGCTAAGTCATTCATCATATTGATTTCACGACCATAGCTAGAGCATTCAGAGATGGTCGTTCCGTTGAGCGTGAATGGGGCATCAGAAACCAATCCGTTTCTCATGAACATCGTCTTCGTTAGATTCAGCCGTAGACCGATTTTTCCACACGCGCAGTCGAATTCAGCCAGCATTCGTTCCGCTTGCTCGATGTTTGGTGTTATCAAAACGATGTCGTCAGCAAAGCGGAGATGGTGTAGTTGCCGACCGTCGATCTTCACTCCCATGTCTTCCCATTCCAGTTCTCGAGAGAGGCGCTGAAGAGCTTGGCGAGATGGTGTCGCCCTGTCGGACCCCTCTCTTCACGTCGATGATGATCTCCTTGTAGAATGGTGAGATCTTGGTCGTGAAGTTGCTGTAGAGCTCACGAAGAATCCTGATGTACTGAGTAGGAATACCCTGGTTGCCCAGGGCTTCGATAACCGCTTCTGTCTCAACGGAGTCGAAGGCTTTCTTCAAGTCGATGAACGTGAGACATAACGGCATCTTGTACTCTCGATGAGCTTCGTTACCGTGTGGATGTGATCGATCGTGCTGAATCCTCTTCGAAACCCTGCTTGCTCGCATGGCTG